TGTAGGGTCACTCTGACCCTGCATGGCCTCAGTGCCAGGTGGTGTGGTTTTGTCTTTTAACAACACAAAGTTCTGTCTTATTTCTCCTGTAGGGCCACAGCGTTGTCTGAGCATAAAACCCAACCACAAGGACACGCTTACGAGCCACAAAGATCCATCCTGAGTGGACAGTGGACATGGATTCCTGCTGACCGGTCGATCATGCTGGGTGGCCTAGACCCACTCACCCTGGTCAGCAGTGAGTGCACTTAGTGGTTTATCCCACTCAAGGGGCTAAGACTGTCCCCCCACCCACACTGTGATATTAAAAATTGGAAATGTCTTGTTGGCATATGAGCAAAGTGGGGGCTAGCCAATGCAGGTATAGCTGCCAACAGAAGGGTACACAGTCGTTAGTATAGTTAATGGAGATGTTTATTTAGTCACTTGGTGTTATTAAGTAGACAATACAATATGAAATAAGTTAGGAAAGAAAAGTGTATCCTCCGATATTAAAAGTGATCCTTTCTGGACAATATAAAAATACATAGAATATGACTATTCATGAGTTTAAGAACTCTGAGGTGCTGTTGAAGACAAGTCTCTCGGCCCCGACTCAGGTCCTCATTCTGATTCCCCCAACCACACACACACACAAGCTGCTCCGGCCATGTTTGGGGGCCTCTGGGTCCCGTTGAGCATCTGATATAATCACTAGGTCTCTCCTCAGGGAAGACAGGACTGGACACCCATTCTGGGTGCAGCTGTGGTGGTGGACAGTGCATGCTGACTCCAGTCAGGAATGGTGCAGTAATTAGAATGAGGTCAATTTTGTCCCTTTGACCTCGACCAGCACAGAGCCTGGGCCACTGTCAAGGCACGGGTCCCAGTAGCGTGTGGAGGGTGTCAACGGGCCTTCTCCCCAAGCCTGCTTCAGCTCTGAGGTCATGAGCGGCCTCATAAAGACCAGCCATCTGCTTCCCTGAGGCTGGCTGGGGCCCTGGGTGGGAGGGACGGTTCACAGTATACGTGGGACCAGGCTGACGTGGTGGCTTGTGTTGAGGTGGGCTCTCAGTGTCAAGGAGAGAGCATGTCAGGACCCGGTTTTAGGAGGAGGTCCCCTTTGTGTGTTCATCTGAGACCAGGAGTTACTGAGACAGGAGTCGGCTGGAGTCTGTGTGCGACAGGGATGGACACGGCCACCAGGGGGCGCTGCAGGCTGGCCGGGGAGCCACTTGTCCGGTGACGCCAGGTGGCTGCACAGCTTGAAGAGGGTCCAGCCATGAGCAGAGGGCGCCAGCCCTGTCTCTTCCTCCCTGTCCCCTGAATCAGTTCCAAGTTCTGCCAAGAGCAGGCTCGGTGGTGTCCACGGCCTTCGCCTCCTCGTCTTGGCTCCATGGTGGAGCTGGAGGCAGGATGAACAAGCAGACAAAGTGGGCAGACGGCCTGGGGTTGCGACCCGGCACTGTCCAAACAAAACTGCATGCTTTTCTTGGTTCTTATTTTGATAACTAGGATTAAAGCTTGCTAGCCTTGCCCTCCTGTCCAGGTGAGG